AAGCTGCTTGGCGGATGTGGGAGCGGGCCACTCCGCAATAGCAGTGATCTTCGCGTCGTCCATGTGGAGACCCTGGTCAGACACGTAGTGTCCCAAGAAATACACTTTGTGTTGGGCAAAGCGGCACTTGCTCAGCTTGGCGTAGAAGCCATGTCTGCGCAAGCGGTCAAGGATGTAGCGGAGATGTCTGAGGTGCTCCTCAAGGGTACGACTGAAGACCAGGATATCGTCGAGGTAGACGAGAACGTACTGCTCCAGTGTGTCCCTGAAGATGTCGTTCATCGCCCTCTGAGAGGTAGCGGGAGCATTAGTGAGGCCGAATGGCGTCACCGTGAACTCGTAGTGGCCGAATCGCGATCGGAACGCGGTCTTCGGCTGGTCGGCTGCAGCGACGCGGATCTGATGGTAACCGCTATGAAGATCAATCTTCGTAAATGAGCGGTTGCCTGCTAGGCGGTCGAACAGCTCATCGGAACGAGGCATGGGGTAGCTGTTCTTAATCGTGTAGCGGTTGAGACCGCGATAGTCGATGCAGAGACGGAGAGTTCCGTCCGCTTTGAGAGCAAAGAGGACGGGTGGACCCCACGGGGAGTTGTTGGGCTTAATGAAACCCAGTCTCAGGAGCTCCTCAAGCTGACGCTTGAGTTCGGTGGCCTCGGGGATCGAGAGTCTATAGGGTGCCTGGTGGTGAACACGATAGTCAGGCACAAGCTGAATGGAGTGCTCGAGGTCATGCATCGGTGGGATGCCGGCGTACGAGAACGACGATGGGAAAACGTCGTGGTACTCTCGGATGAGGTTATGAACTGCGGGCTCCAAGTCAGCCGTATATCGTGCGAGTTCCTCAGCGTCAGCGTCAGCGCACGACGGCGGGGTGGACTCGACGGACGACGGAGGGACGGAAGTAGAGATGGGAGCCATGGAGATAGAGGGAGGATCTGGCTCCAGAGGGATGAGCTCAACGTCAGGACAGGGTGGATCATAGTGTAAGAGATCTGTCACGTCCACCATAAAGAAGGTGACGTCGTCCTGTCGAATGAAGTGAGCAAACTGCCGAGGCGAGGTGACAGTGATAGAGGGAGATGGTGTGGGCAGTGAAGGCTCCGGGGAAGGAGGATCGGGGCGTAGTGTCGCCGTTGTACAAATGAAAGGTACGCGATACGTCTGTCCACACTTCGTTTTGAGAACGAGAGTGTTGGTCGCCCAATTCGCCTCGGTTCTGCGGAACTGACGAGACCACGGAGTGCCGAGAATAAAGTCATACCCCGTCTCCATCACATCGAAATGTGCAGAGGAGCGGTGGCGACGAGACGCCAGGGAACGATCAGTCGGCTCGAGAGTGAGAAAGAAGGGGAGGTCGGTGACCGTCTGATCGAAGAAGCGCTGGGTCTTGTCATCCCCTAGGGTAACGGAGATGGGAGTCGGAGACCCTGTCGTGGGTAAGCGGGCTTCCTTCACCACGCGTGGGTGAATGAAGTCGCCCTGAGAACCGGAATCCCACAGCGCTGAGTACACCCTCGTGGAGGTCCCAAGTCGTACTGGGATGATCGAGAGGGTGCGATCAGGGTTAGAGAGGATGGCGAGAAGGCGACGCAGTGCAGCGACATGGAGGGTGAGTCGCTCCTGACGAGCCTGGAGCATGCTCAAGTCCAGAAGAGAGGACACAACGTCCTCGCGAGTAGCAAGCTGCTCGCTGCAACAGGCTGAGCAAATGGCTCGACACGTCGGTAGTCGCGGCGGGGAAGGAGGGGAGACGGTGGTCTGCGGAGGCGCAGACGGTACTGCGACAGAGGGATGAGTACACTGTCGAGTCCTGCGATACCTCAACTCCAGTAGCGAGAGGGGCGAACCGCGACGGAGATGTCGGGAAGCCCACTACTAAGAAGGGCGCAGGTGTACACTGCACCGTGGCTAGGAGGCGCCGCGGGGACGTGAGGCGCCGGGGGGGGACTGAGCACGACGCTGACGAGAAAGGTCAGCGTAGTGGCGGTCGAGGGCGGTAGTGTAAGGGCACCGCGAGGAGGTATGACCGTCCAAGCGGCAGCGCAAACACCCACGCTGGCCCAGAATAGCCGCGCGCTCCTCAGCGGAAAGGACACCACGAGGAGGGACGAAGCCCTGAGGGAGGTCCTCCTGAGGGACCTCGGGGGGCGACGAGCCAGCGTGACCGGGGCGGCTGCGTGCCCGAGAGAGGGCGGAGAGCGCGAGCTGAAGGCGCTCAACTGCAGGGAGGGTAGAGTCCTCCAAGTGATAGTGGAYGRCCTCGCAGAGATCGAGGTCGTCGCTGTGGTCGCCCTCAGGTGACAGTGGGGCAACAACGTCCTGCTCACCATACTCCAGCGCGCTTAAGCGGCGCGAGAAGTGGCGGCCCTGCTGCGTGGAACGGCGGGGGCGACCGCGGAAAGGGGAACGGCGCTGGGAAGTGCCGTGCGAGGAGGAGGAGGCGTAGCCCGTGCGCTGGGGCTGGGAGGAGGAGGCGGGGTGAAGACGGGCTCGCCTCCGCTGGTGATCCCTGGCGGCCTCGTAAGCCTGTGGGGCCGATGTAAACTCGTACCGCCATAGCTCGGAGCGGTACTCGAGCGGAAGGTTGGCCAAGAAACGATCGATAAGGGCAGCCTCAGGGAGGAACGCCACGTCGCAAACGAGGCGGGCATCCTGAAAGACCTGGATGTGGCGATCCAGGCTGGCAGCGACACCAGAGCCGGACCAGCGTGTAGTGACGACACACTCGAAGGCGTCAGTCACGTCGTATCGGGCTCCGAAGCGATCCTCGAGGAACGCCTGGAAATCCACGAAGGTCGGAGTCCGACCCTCACGAAGGGAGTAGGCATAGAAATCCTCCCAGGCCTCGAAAGGACCRCCACGCAGGCGCGTGGAGAGGTGACCCACCCACGTCTTGGGTGTGGCGCCCATGAGCTGGAGTGTGCGGGTGGCAGACTGCAGCCACCGAGACACTCGTATGCCTGTACCGTCATACAAGGCAATGTCCGACAAGCGGATGAGTGGTGCACCACCGTTTTGGCGACGAGGGGATAGAGGAGCGGAGGCCTGTGCCACAGCTGACTAACTCGGCGCAGGTCCTGGAGAAAGGGGCGCAACTGACTGTGCGCCCGGGCCGCATGGGGGAGCGGCGGTGGCAACAACGGCAGGTTGTGAGGGTGCTGCGGTAGAAGAGGTCGCAACAACCGCGGGAGTAGGAAGAAGGTAGGAAGGAGTTGTATAGGGTGCAGAGCGCGGAAAGCGAGCCTGCATGGGACGAAGGGTAGAGGAGGTAGGGGGTGTGCCCGAAGGCGCGGCCACCTATGAGGGTGGGGGTGGCTGAAGGCGTAAGAGGGCGAGGTCGGCCCGGAGCTGTGCAATCTCGTCCGCGAGACCTCGAACGTAGGTTGATCGAGGGGTGGCAGGAGAAGAGTGGAGGGGGTGGACGCACAAGCGGCATGGGGCATCCCAGAAGGGGGGAGAGCCAGATGGCGCTGCGGTCGTGCGAAGGGGAGGGAGAAGTGGGGCACCCGGACAAGCTGAGACCATGGTAGCGGGTTGTTGTACCGTGGCCGTAGTGACCGGGATCTGGGCGGGTGCGCCCGTAGACTGAGGGGGGCCCTGGCTCGTGGCGGTCGTCGTGCTAGGGGCGTGGACAGTCACCAAGATGGCCGGGTCAGGGGCAACGGAGGAGGAAGCTCCGCCGTGGCCACCCTGTCGGAGGACGGGGGACCCGGACTGGGAGCCAGGAGATGATGGACACGCAGCGTCCTGGAGTCGCTGCATGCCGGCGGCAAGGGTCACCACCTGCGCCTGTAAGGGCGCGAGGGTCGCGAGTTGCGCCTGGATGGACGCAAGGGTCGCGAGTTGCACCTGAATGGGCGCAAGGAGGGAGGTGAGGAGGGTGTGTAGATCCCCCTGGGGCTGATGGCCCTGGTCCGCTGGCACGGGTGTGGAGCCCGATGCCGTGGTCATTGCCATGTCAGCGGCGTGTAACGCACCGTCGGCCATGGGGAGATGACGGACCGGACTGGAGGGGGCCTGAAGAGGTCCGCGTGAGCGGAGGGCGTAGGGGGAAGTCCGCGGTAGAAAGCGGTGAACGGCGCTAGCAAGGCTAGCACGGGTGCCATCAAAGGGGGAGGGGTGGTTTGGGTCCAGGGTGCCCGAAGAGGACGGGGAAGTAGGGGGGTTTTGAGGAACCCTAAACCCTACAAAA